GAAAAGTAGGCCAGTTAATATCAAAATTCAATTCAGCATCAGAAATTACACCCCTTGTCCAAATTTCAAGTCTGTATGTCAAGAACACAAGAATGAAAGTCAAATTATATCAATAATATCAAAAGTAGGTCAGTTGATATCAAAATTCATTTCGGCATCAGAATTTACAAACCTGGTCAACATTTAAAATCTGAATGTCAAAATACAAGACAGTAGGTCAAATGATGTCAGTAATACCTAAAGTAGGTCAGCTGGTATCAAAATTGAATTCAACATAAAAAATTACACAAATTACACCCATAGTCCAAATTTCAAGTCTGTACATAAAAGACAAATAAAGTAGGTAAAGCGATATCAAATATATCAAAAGTAAGCCAGTTCATATCAAAATTCAATTCAGGAACAGAAATTAAACCCCTTGTCCCTTGTTAATTCAACAGAAAAAAAAAATACAATTTTTTACAAAATTCAATAAGAGAATTGAGCAGATAAATTCATCTTTGATAGTTAAGTACAGGAGTAACAAATTTTATGTTTCTTTAGGCCTATTTTTTTTCCTGGTTAATGACCTACAACTGACCTTACAATGATGCAATAGTCCGAATTCCAGAGCTGAAATATATTTACACATCATAAACAGGTCATGACCCAAGCCAATGAAATTTATGAAATTTTTGCTGAAAATGTCTTAGTTGGATAAAAGAATGAATAAACTATGTACAGGAAACTGCATATGCTATTACAGGCAATGTAAAGATGGTCTTTTCTATAAAAAAAAGAAAAAAAAGTTTTTGTAATGACACTATCATTTTATTTATACTGTGACCACGAATAGTTTAAGAGTTTAAAACATAACATTTATACTTTGTGTGAATTCAAAACACGTATATTTCATATTTATATTTATAAGGAGACTATGTATCTATTGTCAGTATTTTTTTAATATTTAAATTAGAGCTTAGAATATCTTTAAACTTTAATTTAAAGAAATGCTAGTGCATTTAAGCTTTAGCTTTAACAGGACCAATCAAACTAATATGAGCAAACTTTATTAAAGACTACCTAAGAATGCTACTGACAAAGTTTAATGATCATCTATCAATTAGCTCTGCAGATGGAGATGTCTAAAGGTTTTTCTATTTTTAGCCCTAGAGACCCTTAAAAGGGGCCAATCAAATTAAGATGAGCAAACTTGATAAAAGACTACCAAAGAAGGCTACAGACAAAGTTTGGTGATCATTCATCTATTAGTTCTGTAGGAGCAGATGTTTAAAGGTATTTCTATTTTTAGCTTTAGCGGCCCCTACAAGGGGCCAATCAAATTAATATGAGCAAACTTGATAAAAGACTACTTAAGAATGCTACAGACAAAGTTTGGTGATCATCTATCAATTAGTTCTGTAGAAAAAGCATTTAAAAGTATTTCTATTTTAAGCTATAGCGGCCCTTAAAAGGGGCCAATCAAACTAATATGAGCAAACTTGATGAAAGACTACCCAAAAATGCTACAGACAAAGTTTGGTAATCTTCCATCCATTAGTTCTGTAGAAAAAGATGTCTAAAGGTTTTTCTATTTTTAGCCCTAGAGACCCCTAAAAGGGGCCAATCAAATAAATACGAGCAAACTGAATAAAAGACTACCCAAGAATTGTACTGACAAAGTTTTGTGATCATCAATCTATTCGTTCTGTAGAAGATAACATTTAAAGGTATTTCTATTTGTTGCTATAGCGGCCCATACAAGGGGCCAATCAAATTAATATGAGCAAACTTGATAAAAGACTACCCAAGAATGCTACAGACAAAGTTTGGTGATCATCCATCAATTGGTTCTGTAGAAGAAAATGTCTAAAGGTTTTCTATTTTAAGCCCTAGTGACCCCTAAAAGGGGCCAATCAAATTAATATGAGCAAACTTGATAAAAGACTACCTAAGGATGCTACAGACAAAGTTTGGTGATCATCCATCAATTAGTTCTGTAGAAGAAGACGTTTAAAGATATTTCTATTTTTAGCTGTAGCAGCCCCTACAAGGGGCAAATCAAATTACTATGAGCAAACTTGATAAAAGACTACCCAAGAATACTACAGACAAAGTTTGGTGATCATCCATCAATTGGTTCTGTAGAAGAAGATGTCTAAAGGTTTTTCTATTTTTAGCCCTAGTGCCAATTGAAATGATATGAGCAAACTTGATAAAAGACTACCCAAGAATACTACAGACAAAGTTTGGTGATCATCCATCCATTAGTTCTGTAGTAGAAGATGTTTAAAGGTTTTTCTATTTTTAGCTCTGCTGAACCCTAAAAAGGGCCAATTGAAATGACATGAGCAAATTTAAGTGTGACTATCACAAGGATGCTACAGACCAAATTTTAGTTAAATCTGCCCAGCAGTTTCAGAGAAGAAGATGATTGTTGACGCATGACGACGGACGACGGACGCCGGAGTATCGCCCTTTGTTACTAATAGCTCACCCTGAGCCTTCGGCTCTGGTGAGCTAAAAAAAAGAAGACAATTTAAGTTCTTAATTGCAAATATAGAAACTTAGGAATGTAATGTTCAAAGACATTTTACACGTGAAAAGATTCACTCCGAGAGAGACATAGATCCGACATGAGAACACATTAGTCAAAATATGTCGGCCCTTCGTGTTTTTCGCATTTTCGCATTTTGAGGCGAAGACGCGAAAATATTTGGATGGCGTTAATCAGCCACCATACATAATCCATTCAAGGCGAATTTCTCAAGCATGTCGAAAGGATGTCCGGAAATGTGTTAATATAAAACGCTGATATTTCGTGTGTTGATAAAAATACTGTTTAGATTCTATATGGTTTTGAAAAAAAAACTGTTTCTATGTAACTTTTCACGGAAATGGGCTGTACAATGATTGCGTAAAAACAATAAAATGTCGGCTGTAGAAATCGAAAGGCATTTTGTCACGTGACTTTTGCCCATGCTACCGAAAACTACTCATCACAATATCACGGCGTTGAGACGCCGTGAAATAACAGCTCTGCCCATAATAATTTTAAAGCCAATGACCTTTGTTGCTATTCATGTGTTAAATGCGATTTTGTACGTGATGTCAAAACGTTTATAGCCTGAGTCTTTATTGGCGAATAGATTATCTTATTTAATTTTACCCATGAAATATGGTGCTTTATCAGTTTTTTTTTCGTTTTTCGTGAAGTATGGTATATATTTTCACTCAACATGATAAAATGCCACATATTTACACTCGCCGTCCCGGCTCGTGAAAATATGTGGCATTATATCATGTTTCGTTAAAATATATTCCATATCTCACTCAAATGAACAAATATCCTCTTAATATTATCGCTTTGTACCTTTGAAATTATTACCAAGTGTATTTAAAACTATCCTATTTTACAACTGCTGGGTATTGGGAAGTATGTGACTGCTTCTTGTTTGTCTAAATTTTCGGGGGTTTAATGTAAGAAGTTTGTGAACAATTTTGGTACCTGGTCTGCTAAAATAATTTCTGAATAATTTCAAAATTCGTGTATATTGACTGCATAGCGAATAGTGCGGATCATGAGAAGACGGTACAGCACGGTAAAGATGTGCCGGATGATAGTGGTCTGTCATTTACCATTCTACCCTGTTAAGAAAAAAAATAGGGACGTCCGTGGCCGAGTGGTTAAGGTTGTTGACTTCAAGCCACTTGCCCCTCACCACTGTAGGTTTCAAATCCCGACAGGGACTTTGGATTCTTCCTCGTGAGGAAGCTATCCAGCTTACGGAACGTCGGTGGTTCTATTCAAGTGCACGTTTACGCCTTATATAATGCACGGAAAGGCACCTGAAGTCTTCATATTTTTTAAATTTTGCCGTGTTGGACTTTCTTTAGGGATTCTTATTTTCTCTATTTTATCGCCACATCAGCGTTGTTTGTGCCGTGTGGAGGCTGTAAAAAGTCGCCCCGTACATTCAATCAGACATGTTATATTTCCGATCCTTTAAGATCGTTCAGCACGACATTACTGTTGTGCTTGTGGTATTTTTAGTTTTAACTTTTCGGCATTTTCTAGTTGGGTGGTTCCAATATTCCTAATTGAATAATGTTGAATCACCCTTAGGATATGTTGCCTGCTTTTTAACTTGTCTGTTGACGTCTTATTTGTGGTATGCAGGCTTCATAACCTCCGATTCCCTTTCAAAATTCCATTTTATTTAGTTGCGCCCATTGTTTTCTCGTTTAGGGCACACGCTTTTTATTACTTGGGGACCATACGCCGCTTTTCATGGAATGGCACGGAAGTTTCACATTGAAGGTTCCATGATTACCGCCGTATAAACACATCTTTGGATGTTTCTAAATTCAAAATTTTACAATTTCATGTTTAAATGTTGAATTCTGCTTAAGCCGGTGCTAGGGGGGGAGTGGATGGTAGTTTGCACTTTACAGTACCGTCCATGAACAGGATCAATCAAACCGAGCCTGCAACATTTTCAATTTTGCCGTGTTGGGCTTTCTTTAGGGATTCTTATTTTCTCTATTCCTTCACCAGTAAAGCTGGAACGTCGCCATAAAGCATAAACTGTGTCGGTGTGACGTAAAACCCATTAGCGTAAGATAAATGTCTGCACTTTGTGACTTGTTTAAAGTGTTCTCTGTGGATGTATATCCCATGCTTTGTTAAATTACATTATTTGTACAATCGACAAAATATCTACTAATTGGGACATTTTTTATGTTATTTTATTATTTTGCTCATAAATTTATAATTAATATGGCGGCGTGCTGTTTCGTAATATTTCCATCTGTTGTCAGACAATAGCAAAATTCAATTAAAATATCATATAATATTAATAATATTATATACAATGAATCATGTTTTACGAAATAAAGATTAAAATTCATCCGAGGGAATTATTTATTTGCTCACATTTCAATTCAATAAGGAACCATCAGACTGATTAAAATATTATGCATTAAAGCTTTCAATATAATAAAAATATCAAAGCTTTAAATTAAAGGATATACTAATATTTAATATAACGTGTGAATTGACATATAAGAGTTATAATACTGAATGTTTAAACGTCAAACAACTAATTGTGGGGCTCTGGTTCTTCCGTTGTCACGTCTTTTTCTCCAGGTTCTGTGACGATGGGCGTGGTTATTGATTCCGTAGTGACTGGTTGCGTAGGTGCATCTGTGTTTATGGGCGTGGTATCGGACTGTGTAGTGATTGGTCTGGTCGGCGCATCTGTGACAGACGGCGTGCTTTCAGATACAGTGTTAAAGATTTTGTTTGTAAGTTTCATAACAATTAGTTCACGATCTATATCCTCTGTATTTGAAAATTTTATATTTGTTTTTTTTAAAGAATTGTTGAACCACACGGTGTCTTGAAGTGCTTTACGTCGATATTTAAATCTAAGCAATGCTCTTTGAGTTCCACGAATATCTTGGTTATCGAACACGTGACTTGGTAATTCATGTAGTCTCATGTCGTCTGCTATCTTGCTATGTATGAAGACGAACATTGTCACTATCACTGTAAAATTTCAAAAGAAAAATACACACACATATTCAAACTAATGTTATATCAATATTAATTATTGAATGGAAGTCCGCTAAGCTGAATAAAAAAAAGCACCGGATTAGTAGTTTTAGAAGCCGTTGGTTCGATCCTCTGGCTGGGCATAATTTCTTCTTGGCAATTTATACAATGATCATTTGTTCCAAGCACTGGTTGAGAAATTGATTTGGAGAAGGAGCCAATTACTTGTGGACAAATGAGCCGCGTCATGACAAAACCAACGTAGTGGGTTTGCGACCAGCATGGATCCAGACCAGCCTGCGCTGGATCAGGATCCATGCTGTTCGCTATCAGTTTCTCTATTTGTTATTGGGTTTGTAAGCGAACAGCATGGATCCTGATCAGACTGCGCGGATGCGCAGACTGGTCTGGATCCATGCTGGTCGCAAACGCACTATGTTGGTTTTGTCGTGACGCGGCTCAAATGACTATTTCATTTTTGTTGATTGGTTACGGTGGTTACAATCGCCGATATACATTTATGACTAGAACATTGATTGAAATCGAAAAACAAATAAAACAAATAATTGCATAATATTTCATAGCAGTAAGAAAACGGAATTCAAAATTGAACATAGTCTTTAATATATTAACGCAATGTACATTCCAACATAAAACATCAATAATTGTATTGTATAATACATTAAATGCCAAACATATAGCAACAGTTTCATTAAATGTAGAGGTTAAAGTCCTGAGATAATTTTAACAATAGTCTTGCCATACGTGTATAAGCAGTGTTTACAACAAAATTAATGATAAAAATGTCAACCCAAAGTTGATGTCAATCTCAAAGTCACATTTTCAATAAAATAAATATTTTTAATATGACACCTTTTATATGTAAATGTTGTATATCAAATAATAATGTATTGAAAACAGATGTAACCGTAGCGGAAATACTGCGGAATTTCAGTAATTTAAAATGAAAATTGTTGTTATGGAATGATCATAAATACAATAGCACCAACAGGTGTGTCTCCACAAGAGTTTTTGGCAAACCTTCAACGTGTCACGTACGTGTCATTTCATAAATAGACACGAATTGCTCGAGTTCAATTAAATAAAAGTGCGATTGTTAGATATAAAATAATTCTTTATTGATAAATCTTCAGGATGGTTGACGCGCTTTAATGTAACAAATCAATTCCGACAAAAGAATTAAACGTGTCAATAATTTTGAAGAAATTCACAACTTTTGAAACCATTACCAGTTATGTGTTTTTTTTTAAAATTCAGTACCGCTCAAGCCGGTGCTAGATGGCGTGATGGATGTTGCATATTTTCATTATCCCTCATGTACAAACTCAATAAAACCGAGTCTGCAATTTCCATGTAATTTTGCTGTTTTAATTCTTCCGAGTGATCTCTTTTTTTTTGCCCCATATATTTCGAAATCAAGCAATGTACGCACTTGTGTTATTAGTCCTAATACTCGTATAGAATGTTAAATGTAAAAATGATAAAAAATAATTATTCCTGACCAGAAAAATCAAGTGTTATAAATATGGTGGCTGATTTGTGCCATTCGTGTTTTTGTCCCGCGACCCCGCCAAGCGAAAAATCGAGAATAAACAAGCTAGAATGGCGGGGTCGAGGAGCGAAAACATAATTATGGACACAAATAAGCCACCATATATAAATCTTAAATTAAAATAAAAAAGAAGTATTTTTCACCCCGACACATATATATCACCTTCTTCAGTCACGTATATGAACTAGTTTTTGACAACATTAAGCATCCGATTTTTTAGCCGTCTGTTCTGCTGAATAATCTTTGAGCGATTTACGTTCTATTGATTATTTTCACTTCATTTAAAATGATTTATAGTATTTGTGTTAAGAAGACAATCTATTGAAATGAAAAATCGGTTATTTCAATAGTACATTTTTTTGCAATTTGTATTTTGTCAATAATTATCTGTTTTTTTATTTGTTCTGTATAAAACTAAATTCCTTACATTGCAATAAAAATAATAACATTTAATAATAAGACTAAATACAGATAAAGAAATCGTACCAGATGTTGTTAGTATTGTAACCACGGCCCTTAATTTCACCAACTTTCTCTTCTTTGCCATTTTTGTTACCTATATATTGAAGTCATCTTATTGTGGTCTGAAATGTAAAGTGATAAATCTGTAATTTAAAGTGAGAAGTTGTAAAACAAATAATATTCAATGTAAAGTACTACGTCTGTAATGTAAAGTTAGAAGTTGTAAGGTAAATAATATTAAATGTAAAATAAGAAGTATGTAATGTAAACTGAGAAGTTTGTAAGGTAAATAATATTTAATGTAAAATAAGACGTCTTTAATGTAAAGTGAGAAGTTTGTAATGTAAATAATATTTAATGTAAAGTAAGACATCTGCAATGTAAAGAGAGAAAACTGTTACTTAAATGTAGATAATATTTAATGTAAAATAAGAAGTCTGCAATGTAAAGTGAGAAGAATGTTATGTAAATATTATTTAATGTAAAGTAAGAAGTCTGCAATGTAAAGTAAGACGTTGCAATGTAAAGTTAGAAGTCTGTAATGTAAAGTGAGAAGTCTGTAATGTAAAGTGAGAAGTCTGTAATGTTAAGTGAGAAGGCTGTAATGTAAAATGAGATGTATATATTGTAAAGTGAGATGTATGTATTGTAAAGTGAGATGTATATATTGTTAGGGGAGAAGTCTGTTATGTGAAGTAAAAAGTCTGTAATTAAAAAAGAGAAGTCTGTAATTTAATAGAAAATTCTCTTAATATGTAAAGTGAGAGGTCTGTAAATTAATATAAAGTAAGAGGAATGTAATTCAAAAAAGAAGTCACTTAATATGTAAAGTGAGAGGTATGTTATGTAACTTAAGAGGAATGTTATTTAAAAAGAGAAATATCTTAATATGTAAAGTGAGAGGTATGTTATGTAAAGTAAAACGTCTGTAATTTAAAAAGAGAAATCGCTTAAGATGTAAAGTGAGAGGTCTGTATTGTAACGTGAAATTTAAAAAAAAAGAAGACGCTGAATATTTAAAGTGAGAGGTATGTTAATATGTAAAGTAAGAGGAATGTAGTTTGAAAAGAGAAATATCTTAATATGTAAAGAGAAGTCTAATAAGTGAGATGTGCACTGCATTACATTTTGCAATAACAAATTGCTGCGTATAAACTCCCACGGTCTGATATATATAATATAATGTAATCTTTTGTCAGTCGCGTTCAAATCCTCTGTATATAATATAATAATGATAATTTGATTTCACAGCTGGGCCAAATTAAAGGCCTGAATATTCATGAGTTCATGAAATTGACACATAAATGAATGTGATATATTCAAATTAGTATGATTTGAGCAGCATAGTGAACAATAAGTAAAGGTTCTAAGTGATGCATTCTTTATTAGAATGAATTCAAATTTAAATGCCTGATAAAAAGAGTGCAATTTTCTCAAGGTTTTATACTTTAAAGCTGCACGCCAACAGATGAGTACATATTCTTTTCTTTAATAAATGTTAGTAAAATGTACATGTGTATTAAAATTTTTGTTTGATGTATTATTATTAGCATCCCAAAACGACAAGAAACATGAAGTATGCCAAATGTGATTCAATAACAATTCTTAGTCCTTTTGTTTTACCTCGTTTCTCACGGATTAATTGCTCATAGAAATAGAAAAAAGCATTGGAAATCGAGGTTATCAGATTTTTACAAGAACACAGATAACCAAGTGTTTTTGATGTTTTGTTTCCTTTTTTTGTGTCATTGACAGGCAATAAAATTATTCGTCTTCATATCAAAATATGAAAGCCCCAAGAAAATTATATCCAATCTGCATGCATATAATATCCACCCAACACATTGATATTACATAATTCAGTAAGTGCACTGGGAAGTGTAACGAAATAGAAAATGAATAGTAACAGTAAAAAAAGTTATATTTAAAAGTCTACGTTATTTCAAATGCGGATGCTTCTAAAATCAAAATTTTACTGTTTTTTTTTTTAAATGATTGATTCTGCTTAAGCTGGTGTTAGTGGGGGCGTTGACGGCAGCTTGCACTCTCAGGCTGAATCAAACCGAGTCTGCAACATTTTCAGTTTTGCAGTTTTGGACTTTCTTTTGGGAGTCTTTATTTCTATTTTATTGCAAAAGAAGTGAGTTTTGCAATTGTCAGTATTTTTTTCTGGAAAGTATTTGTTAGTTTTGAAATCATAACATGATCATGTATGTAACGAAATGAGTTGTGCGGCAAAAATATTGCAAAACTTGTTTATAAAGATGAGCTGATACTGCTTCAAAACCACTGTTTTAACATAAGTTTTGCAATATATTTTTTTTTTTTAGAAAAGACAGAAATGTTGAAATATATATGTTTTTGAATTAAACTTTTACATGCTAATTCTTATGTTAAAAATCTCAAGGCTATAGTGTCTCGATATAATCTAATTATAAAAGCTTTAATTGGATACATACTTTATTGCAAATCTCGGTTTTATTGCAAACTGGTTGTGAGAACATTGCAAGAAGAATAAGTCAAAAGAACGATTTTTGCAATAAGTTATTGCAATAAGTTATTGCAAAAACGGTTGTAACAATGCCCCCTCGTACAAATCAGATAACATCTAGTTCTGAAACTATGTCTGTTACTTAATGTATGAAATTTAATTTCTAAGCTGAGTGAAAATATCTTTAAGGCTAGATTGAATCAATTTCTTTGTACACTTGTTAATCTTATTTTCTAATTAGTAAATTTGTTTAATTTTTATATAAAAATAGCATGAATCTATGGGCATGCCGCTTTAAGAATTACTTATTTAGATGTATTTTGAAAGAAAAAGCTTATATAAAATTTTATGAAAAGCTGCACGGCGATATGCAGCGTCTAATCATATCAAAATTGCACTGATATTTTTGTTAACCTTTAATCAACCCTATCATAAAATTAATTAATTTGGATGACTGCCTGAAAACTTGTAAATGTTATTAAATAATCCCGCAGACTTACGATATATTTCGGGTATATTTGAGTATAAGTATGAGCAAAACAACAACATTAACATGTAATTATCTTGCTAACAATTACTTTTTTGTATATTAGTAAATGACAATAAAGTTCCTGAAACGGAATTTTGTAATAATAAAATGTGCTGTACCTGCACAAAAGCTATGTTAATACATGAATATCATCACTGAGCTGGAGTTCGTGAGTTTGAATCACTCAAGCAAAATACGTGTACAGAAGGTCATGGTGATAAGTTGTCAGACAGTATTTTAATGTCAGTAAACATGCCATTGATCAGAGTAAACATTAGACTATCCCTAATAAAATGTTTACAGCAAGAAAAAAAACAACACCCGTTCTGCCCACACAAATTTTAATAAGCAATGATTTCTTGTTGTTGTTGTTGTTGTAGTAGAAACTACTTTATATAAGTTTATTCATAGTATCAAAAGAGAAAGTCCATAAGATTGGGTTCCTCCAGAAGACAGTGATTTTACTTTTTAGAGGATAATTTAACGGACACAGAAGTTTCACAATTCCTGGAGAAATAACTGTTTTTTAACATGCGTAGACTATAGCATCATTTTGCGGGGCCAATAATTTTAAAGAAATATTTGTTTAGGAAATAGATATCAATTCTGAGTGCATTGTTGTAGAATAATGCACGGTTTGAGTTCAAATGCGTAGTAATATAATCACGAAGGCCGATAGGCCTGAGTGATTAATTACAAAGCATTTGAACGAAAAACGTGCATTATTATACAATAATGCACGAAGAATTGATATCTATTTCCATTCTAATACGTCAAGAAAAAATGTAATTTTTATTATAACGTTGGACTTTATGTTTGGTGGTTGAATTTGTTTTCGCCTCAGAGTTTCCAATAGAAACGTTCTTTAGAGGCCGTTCCAGTGGGTTGAAAAAAAACTGTTAAATCTACCGTTTGTAGAAACATTTTGAAAATAACGAATTTTGAAAACGTTGATACAACTTTGTTTGTTTATTTATTTCAGTTTATAATTTTCCAAGCGAAATACAAATTATTAAAAGTGAAATAAATGTAAAACTAAACTCGTTTGCGACATTAAATAGCGAACTTGATTTGATTGTTTTGCACGTGCTGTTTGGCGCTACATTGTGACGTCACGTAAACAACAATTTAAATGTCTGTACAGCGTTAACGACTGAATTAAAGATATTAATGTTCGGATTAATTTTCTTAGTTAGACCATTTTCTTTCATTCTAGATAGTTTTCACAACAAAATTCGAAAAAAATTGTTTTAATTTATCAGATTTTTTAAACAAAATGGCGCCTTCAATGTGAAAATACACAGGGAGATAATAAGAACGGCGAGTGCATTGTTGTAGAATAATGCACGCTTCCGGCCTTCTTTGTCTATATAGAAAAAATTCCGATAGTGTTAGAATAGTGATTTTAGTATAGATTACTTCACAATGTCGTCACTATTATTTATAGTTAGTTTGTTTGCAATAAGGAGCAACTTTTGCTAATTACGTCGAAACAGTCGGGATATTTTACGTAAACCTTTTTTCCGCCATTGACTTTTTGATTATGAAAATATCGAAATCTGGGAATTATACATGTTTTTTCTACATTTTGCGCAGTTATTTTACTATGAAAAGACAAAATTTTAAAATCTTTTCACACGATAATTTGCAGACTTTTTTCGAGTTTTCGATCTACAATTAATTATTTATCGTGAAAAGCTAAAATTTATTTAACCTGCGTACATGAAAATTTGTCCATCAATAGAGAAAAGTGTGCTTAAACTAAATGCTTAATAATTTCTATCACCAAGGTCGAAAAGTCGATTGCTGAAATAGCATTACTTTGAATTTAGATACAGTAAAAAATGGTAAACATATATGATTAATATTCAGAATCATATGAGAATAATAAATAATAGTGTGTTTATTGATATCGACACAATTTTTTTTATAAATGATGTATGGTATAATTACGAATAACAAAGTTTTATAAAAGTATGTAATATTAAAAGCATGCTGTAAAAAAATATTTTAATTTTGACAATGCGTCTTTGTTATAGAACAAACAGTTAAAGCTTTAACCCTTATCCATCTATAAAAACATGATACATCTAAGAGCAAAACTAAAAAATAGATGGCCATTCAATACAGAATAACAAGAGTTTAAAATTATACATTATAAATTTAATGTTTTTAATTATATTAAATCGTATCTGAACAGTACATTTTTCATTCGTTTTATATGTCACATTACAAAAATGATAATCATCCAATGACCAATTAGCCAATAAGTGTTTTACTTACTTAAATATCTAATTTACCTAAATCCCATGAAAACTTATTCCAACATTAACACCACGTTATTTACTAAATAAATTATGCAAAATATATTTTCAGCGTAATTATATAATCCGTTCTGAACGGCAAATCGATTTCGAATGAAAAGATAACGTTCTTCCGATTCATAAGTAATGAAGATTATTCATATTATAAATAAAGTCATTGAAATACCCTAGATCAGTAGGCGTTATAAATTTTGTCTTATCTTGCCATTGTGTAGTATGATGGAATGATTTAATAATCACGTCATTCAGTGGTGATTTATATTCACTCGACTCTGCATGCGTTCATTCATATGGGTATATAAGTACAAAACGTCATATTTCCGGTATTGAGTATATTAGATTAAGAATTATGGATGATATGATGTGAAAATAAATGTCGGGGTGACTTTTATGTTATTTGTGGTGGTTGTTGATGATTTTTTTTTTCAAAATTCGTTAAATACATTCTAAACTTCACGCTATGTTATTATAACGTAGTCACCGGCTAGCAACAGTTAGTGAACTGTTAAAATCGATTAAAGTACATCACACCATGTGATCATTGATAATAATTATCAACATGTAAACGTGACTTCATTTCCTTTCGATAAAAAGCTGAATTTTATACCCTAAGAAACATGTTAAAAACATTTCTCTTAAAGATCCTGTAACTTTTTATGGTTTTATATCATGCTCAAATGAAGATTTTTCAATGTTGTAAGTTTTAAAAGGCACTATCTGTTAATAAAAGGTAATTAGAAATTTATTTCTATAAAGTCTAAGTCAAATTTTTAAATAAGAAATGGATGCATATATTTTAATGATTACATATAATGTGGACAAATATTTTAAATATCAACTGTTACGTCATAAGGCTTTAAAGTGAAATAATTATTTATATAGACGAGAAAAACCCTAATAGTTCACACATATCACTATACACAACCGACAAAGCCATTATGTTTTTATAGTCACATTTTTGATAAATAAACACGTGAATTAATATTGGCATTAGTCAATAATAAATTTGAAAAGAAAGTAACAAATAAACAGTGTATATGTACCTATATATAAAAATGATAAGATGCAAAATACTGTATACACTACTCTTACAAGCTTTGAAAGCATTTTACCCGTGCTTACTTCCCTTTCTATATACGTCAACAGGCTTTAACGCATTTTGTGGTATATTGTTAGCCTTGTTTACTCAATATATCATTTTTTTAAAAGGCCTCTGATCTACAAAATTGCCACTATACAGAAGATGAAAAGGACATTTCTGTTCAATTCAATTCAATAGCTTTATTGTACAAAAGGCCTCCGGCCCATACACAGTGCATACAATATACATTTTTAATTAGCATTGCTGGAGATATAGAAATGGTCAAATGTCTAATATAGTTATAAAGTACAATCTGAATATAAATTATTCAAATCATTTGAGGAAATTATTTCTTTCTTTCATTGCAAAATTATATGATACGAGCTCGTCTTCAGAAATGTAATTTACGGATAAAAACATGGACAAAGTAAATTTTTGTATGTCCTTGATTTGTTTGATTGATATAGACAACAGAAGTAAGCATTCATTACAACGAACTGGACGCGGCTAATGAATGTCAACAGCAATATATCTGCCGACCAGCTGCCGATGCCCAGACTAAAGTCGTGTGAAGTGGCCCTACAAAGTAAGCCTATTACGTGGTGCGTGAGCCCAAATCACGGCGAGACGGCCTGAACGGCGGCGCCCTTTGCTGTCACAGGACCACACATTTTCATATAGTCATAAGGTTACTGTACATTAAGGTTCTTATGGGCCGCCGTACAATAATCTCCTTTCGGCTCAGAATTCATTTCTTTGGCTAACAATCCTTGGAAATTGTATGGAGGTAAATTATCACAACTATGTAATTCAAAATTAACTCTTGAAATACATGGCTGGTGACATGTCTTCGGTCCGTACTCGACAGCGAAAGCTGAATTTTGTGCCTATATGAATCTGCTTACTATTTCATGAATGATATGGAGAATATTCTGTTTGCACGGAATGATGATGCTGCCAAAATAAAGGATCGTATCTTTCGGGCAAATTTTACGGCACTGATATACTATATGTTTCGACAAGCATCCCTTACAGGTTTTTACAGACGAATTTTGAATGAACGTTTGCTATAAAAACATCCAAATATACTAGATAATCAATGGCCTAATTTCGAGTAATTTTGAGTGCGATTTTCCAAACATTTTAGGTAAAATGTAAATTACATTACATAGTAAGATTCAGCAAAGGTATGGAATAGACCATTGTCTTTTATTTTGCATTTTTATTAAAAGATAGCTTCAGTCAAGAGGAATTTGTCTCCTATATTATTCATAAGAAGCTCTTAAGACTATATTAAAAGTTTGTTAATATTCTGAAGAATATTTCTCATACAAGTGTAATGATTTAAAAAGAAACCCCAAAACAACAACAACACACATTTGCTTATTACAAAAACCGCAATTAATCTCTTTTAATCATCATGTAGACCTTTGAATATTCATCGATTATATGTATGTTCAAACTAATTTCATTTATTTCTTGGACCTAATTGGCATTTAATCTGAATATAAAGATTAAGAAGAAGAACGTTTACCAATTAAACTACACGTTTCTCGTGGTCAATCGATCTCATTCATATACAGGATCATTCTGTTTACTTAATAAATACACAATACTGACAACATTATAAAGGTTATAAAAATAAATTAGAAAAATACTATCAATATAATGAATAAGTGAATCATTTCTGAAATCATTCAAATCCCAATCTGAGTATTGTGTATGAACAAGCAACTGACATTTAGAAATTACCTATATTTTAATTCGAAATGAATAATTTACAAAATGTTAAAAAGAGATAAACGAATTCCCAAAGAATGTCAAAACAGCAAAATTAAAAATGTTACAGGCTCGGTTTGATTAAGCCTGTTCAACGCCGCTTAGTACCGGGATACGTAACATAAAACATTTAAACATGATCACGTGAACATGTAATAGGAAGAAATATGATGAAACTTGATTGACAATGATGAGACAATTAAGAGCCATTATCCATATTTTACGCTTCTATTCAGACAGTGTTATTGGATGTATTTTTAGGTTTCCATATTTCATATTACATTGTTCAGATTGTTAATTTGCACCTCATTGGTACAGTCATTTTTATCAATTTATGTAAGCCGTGAGTATGAATATCAAAGACTACTATTCGCGAGGACTTCAATGTTTGCTTGGAAAAGAAAATTAAAATTAAACTGAATCAATTTAAAATACGCTGTTATTGAATGCAACTTCAATATAATACATAATCAGAAATATTAGGACTATTTAATAATAAATGGGATATGTAATCCAACCATTATGATACAGAAACAAGTCAAATAGATTGTATCTTAATATGAATAGTTTTACTGTATTCTAGAACAATTTTCTAGAAAATCATGATGACATGTTAGACAAAAATGTTTTATATCAATTAAAATAATTATAACCGATTTTGATAAGGTCTTTACGCACAATTTAGATATCATGTTACCCTTATTTTCCCTTGGCCTGTCAGCATAATCTGTCTCATTATCTAAATTAAATGTTTCTGAAATGTCAGATATTTAACAATTTACATCACCGTATAAAAGCATTTTTGTATCGTTAATACAGATAACGAAGAACGTTCTAGTAGAAATAGCGTTGACACGAGCCGGAATCGTCCAAATGACTTTTGAATGTGTTCACGGAATATTAGATATATTAATTTCAATAATAATATGGATACCTCTGAAGCAAATCTTTGGACATTGATGATCATTTTAACTTTATCTTTCACAAGATCGTATGTTGAAACATTTGATAAATACAAACAATTCAGATTAGGTACAGAATTTTGTGCTGAGAAAATTGTAACTGTGATAATCTTTGTCATATTTTTAATGATTGTTGTAGAAATACGACTGACATACAGAACAATTCTAGCGATAAAGATGCAAATGATGATAGAATTGATATGTTTTATGAACAAGAACAGTTTAAGTGTGAAAGTTTCGACTCACCAAAACGAGGTAAAACATCTGCATTAATGGTATCGTTATGCCCAAAAACTTGGGTTGGCAAGGAAACTAAACAGTTATGTGAGGATAAATATTCAGATAATATCAGCAATATCCTGCTGGCGGTTCCAGTACAAAGTTCTGATAATAATATTACTTTCCGAAATATGTATTGTGCATATTGCAACAACGTGTTTGAGTTTCGGTATTTCACCTTCGAAAATGTATGTTTAGGCAATATCAACATCACTTCGTGCATTCTATTTCATTATCAACCAATAAGTTCTTCGATATTGAGAGGTTGTGGGAAAAGTGCAATTCGGGTGATATCAACATGTTTCAAATCTGATAGTTTCAAGGCAAACCAAAGTCAACTATTAAACAATTTATGTCAGTCAGAATCTGTTTCAGTTGTTTTCGACGAATATAACTTTAACGCATACAAAAATAAATTCTGTGCAATGTGTAATGAAATCGACGAAAAGAATCTTCTTTGTTCCCCTGTTAGTAATACAATAATAGAGTCAAAAATAATGACATACAGTTATCGCATGATCGTTGATCTGAATTTACGTCAAGTCCAGACAGTTCATGATTTTAAAGATCACCAAAAAATGATCGATAGTTCAAAGATGTGTTCAAATGCAGACGACGAAATATACGATCCAGTGTCATTGGCATGTAGGAAGTTGTACTGTCCTCCAATGTCAATAGCTACAGAAGGAAAGTGTGAATTGATTAATCAGACAACAAATAATCAACAGCATGTGAGAAACAAATGTACATTTTTAAAGCTTGATCCAAGCGAGTATATAATACTTAATTCAACATCGATTTATCTCTTGTTATCAAACAGGACGGTGGACTCATCGAAATTCATTGTGAATAACTCGAACGTTTACATGTGCATTAAAATACCTTCAAAACGAAATTCATTAAACTATTCCATTGTTTCTGATATCGTTGAAAGTTACTTATCTCTTGTTGGTTTATCTTTTTCCATAATTGCATTGGCAGTAACCCTTACTGTTTACATGATGTTTTCGGAACTACGTAACACGCCGGGAAAGAACCTGATAAGTTTGATGATAGCGTTACTTTCAGCACAGCTTCTTTTCGCATTTTCTAAAGAGGCCTATAACAATAAACTGGCATGTAAAGCTATGGCAATCTGCATACATTATTTCTTTTTGGCTTCTTTCAGTTGGATGAATGTAATTACCTTAGATTTGTTCATTACGTTTTCGCAATCGAGAATTTTGAGCTCAAATAACTCAAAAATATTCTACAAATACAGTGTTTACGCTTGGTTACTTCCAGCTATAGTTGTTTTCTCGGCGTTGATCTTGGAGTATTTATGTAGCGATGATAATAAATATAAACCACGATATGGAGACACCGTTTGTTGGATCTCTTCAAAGAACGCTTTGTTATTGTTTTTCTTAGGACCTCTAGCGGTTTTCAAATTATGTGATGTTGCCGGATTTATTTGTACATCGTTCCATATATCGTCGTCAAGGCGACAGACTTCCTTTGCAAGACATTATACTTTCTGTTCATGTTTGCTTTATTTGAAATTGTCTTTTGTTATGGGACTTACATGGCTGTTTGCTTTTATTGGTGTATTATCGAACAATATAGTAGTTTGGTATCTTTTTATAATATTCAACACACTACAAGGTGTTTTCATAGGCATAAGCTTTTTAACAACAAAGCGAACTATTACACTTATAAAGGCTAAAATAAGAATATTACAGACTAATCGTTCGACCTCCCGAGGACTGACCACAAAGGATTCATCCTGCTAATATTATAGGCTTTAATAAAGATTTCATAAAATTTACCTTGTAAATGTATATTTTTTACAATTGATTGTCCAAATGAGTTTTTATGCTAATCGAATTATGTTTTGTTGTTACCAATATTACACCATATTGTATTGTTTGAGAGTTGTAATATCTATGTATGTAAGAAGTGTTCACTTTCGACCGATATTGTTTCATTTCTACTACTGTACAATTATACAGTGACTGTCATGCTTCATGGTTTTTAATTTGTTTGACTATTTACGAGTATCTGTTGTGGTGTTTTTTTACGCTGATATTGTACGCTTTTTTTATATCAACCTAACGGCTCTCCAATACGTAATAATGTTACTAATCTCTGCCACATCAGTTTTTAATCAGACCTAGAGCCAAATAACCATCAGACTTACAATAAAATGCTTAAAAATAACAAAATATGAAATTATATTTTACCAAAAGAAATAATATAATGACAACTTGTGTTTTCCATTGACGTCTTAAAGTTATCTAATAACGTGAATATCAATTCAATAACACCCTGTGTTGATTCAGAAAAAGAAAATTATAAGTTGCAAAATAGCTTTAAGATATGTACACTTTCCTTTTAAGTATATTTTAAAGAAAGTATGTTATGATTTAAACATCGATAAAGAATGATTAACCTTTCTTTAGGTACATAAGACATACGATCTTACAGTAACTTATAAAATCCACCTGCTTGTTGTCTTTGTTATGAAGGTAAAGCAAAACCAGCAACGACACGTTTTTTTCTGCTCTTCCAATCAATATAACATTTATTACATTTCTGTGAAAAATGTGTAGAATATCCCTTTTAAACGCAGCCTTTCCTAATATTTGCGTATGTATATCATAGACAGTAACTATATTCATAATTAATAGCATTTTTTTATTGTTTGTCTTGTGCCATCATAATACTATCATGTGTATTTGAAATAAAATTGTGCATACGTGAATATATATTGGATAGAACTGTCATGAAAGCGTAGGTAGATTGATTCTTGCCTAGTTTTCCAAAACATATTTTTCAACCACCGAGGGGATAATCAATCATTTTGTTATACCAATTCTTACAGCTTATTACGTTCAACGTTTAAATGTAAAAAAAATATATTTGTGCGATTTAATCAGTATGTGTTGAAATAATCGTTGGCAAGCATGATATTATTTTATTCAACGGAGTCGCAAAATCGGCACGGTGTGTGATGAAATTATGTTTGTTTGTTTGTTTGATATATTATTAAAATGTGGCATTGTCTTTTTATGGACATGTTATTATTGTAAATATATTTTGTTTGAAAGTATGTCGGAAGTAAAAGTATTTATCTATTTGTCTTTTTTTGTTGTTTCTCATTCATAAAGGTTAATTTATTCGTATGTATTTATGTTATAATTGGGTTTGCTAGAAGGGTTTGTATAATTCATATTTCATTCCGCAGGTTAAATATGATCGTCTTAGGTTATATATAATGGCATAAGTATGGTGGCTGATTTGTGCCATTTCTGTTTTCGCCCCGCGCCCCCGCCATTTTAACTTGTTAATTCTCGACTTTTCGCTTGGCGGGGTCGCGGGACGAAAACACGCTATTTAGCGTGGGCGCGGTGTAAAGTTTTATTTTATTAAACTTCGCACCGCGCCCCCGCCGTTTTATTTATTAATTCTCGCTCCGCGCCCTCGCGGGGCGAAGTTTTATTTGTTAAACTTCGCCGCGCGCCCCCGCTAATTAGCGTGTTTTCGCTCCGCGACCCCGCCATTTTAACTTGTTAATTTTCGACTTTTCGCTTGGCGGGGTCGCGGGACGAAAACACGTATGGCACAAATCAGCCACCATACATAAGAGATTTGTGATTGTCTAAGGGATTTGTTACAAAGCTCATTGTTATTTTATGACAGGTTATCTATGAATGTTGCTTTTCCTTAAAAAGAATAAAGTCGTTTGATGCGCGTGTACATATCTCATTGATTATATTGACTATAATTTGTCCATTTCAATTTTATCTAGTTGTAAGTGTCTATTTCATTTTACTCTAAAATTAGGTAAATAAAAGCACTTAAAACACTGCATTTGTTCAGTTCTTTTATCTTGATTTTTTTTCTTTAACCTTGGTCATCTGTTTATTGTCATCATTCTGTTTATTTTAGTTAACAATGTTTCTACTTTATAATAAAGCATTAAAACAAGACATTGAGCATATGTTTCTAAATCTGAATAAAAATATAGATTCAATCTGACCTGTTGTTCATTTTTATTATACATTCGAAACTGTACTCACAACACAGTTACTAATGATTAAAGGACTTAAATAACGGCGAAGATGCATTAAGCGTAAACGTTTGGTTACTTCTTAAACTCGAATATGATGACGATTTAAACGTTATCATAAAATAAATGACAAAATAGAACACAAATTCAAGTGTTTGTGTTCATTAATGATTCTTAAGCAGTTATCATTATATGAAGAACATAATACAAATTAACAAAAAAAAAAGAAAATGAATATCTGTCGTCAAACGTTGAAAGTATGATGTTAAAAAAACTCAGCAACCGAAACACCAGAATATTTAAAACACGATTAATGCAGTGTACGCTGGTTCTTGTTCATGGATCATGTGGGGGTTGCGTTCATTGAACGCCGACTTTCCTTGTTGATCTTGTTTATCATATTTTATTGAAATCTAAACTAAGCTCTTCCTATTTCATTCAATATACCAGTCTGTGCTTTATATGAGTTCTTTTTATTTAGATGTCACTTGCACTGTACCAGCGCCTCCTGTCAAATCAATTGTTGTAAATCACAATATTAATATATATTATACTGTACATATATGTCATTAGATAGTTCTTATTCCTGATTCAATTATTTAATCTCAATAAAAAATAGATAAATAATTAGGTGTATTTCTTATTAGAAAGTATGCACTGTAAACGGTGTATTATTAGGTATAACATGATTTTTTTATGAAACAGGTGATAGTTGAATTATAAGTAGACACGTTACCGATTTATGTTTTGGTTAATATATCTAGTATAATACTTTAATTTATCTAATTAAGCTGGCAAAGACATTTTTTTTTTAGTTTTTAGCGTTTTAATCTTTTCAATAACAAATGTTTCAAGAATGAATATAACTGTAACAAACATTGATTTTTATAGTATTGCTAGGGTGCAGAGGGATGTTGCACTTTTTCATTATCCCTGATTTACACACTCAAATCGAAATTCCAGACTTTTATATTTCATAATGTTTAAGCAGTTATTACATTATTGAAAATACGATATTTATTTTTAGTAACGGCGCTTCACATTCAATCAATCAAATACACACATCTAAAGCTTTTTTTATATATATATTTGCCGTTATGATTAGCTTAATTGTTCGTCTACATTATAAAACGGGAATATTTTCTTTCCATATATTAATTTATTATCAAAACATATTAATGATATAGAACCTTATATTTTCTCAGCATGAAATATCTATATATTGAATTACGTGATCTTGTGATGTTTTATCAAGTTAAATATATAGCATATGGTCGTTCTTGATAGTGCAGTTACAAGAAAATTTTCGGGTACCTATTGTTCTATTTAACACTGTAAGTATTTAGATTAGAACAACATATTCAAATGATAATATTACATGTAATAGATCGGGAGTTAGAATGAAGGAAGAACTCTCTTTAATTTACTTATTGCACTTTGGTCTTTCTCATTTTCATTTTATTTTCTATTTTTAAAAGCAATAAAGCTATATCTTATGACATACAATGTATTTCATAAAACCTATGAATTACGTTGTTTCTTAAAGTGATATGACCGATTCTTGAAACAGTTGTAACATAGAATGTCTCTACAATTTAAAACACGCGAATATTGCACGCAAACAGACTCTAATGCTCTGGAACAAAAAAAATATACTTCTATTTTTAGTAGGTTAGTAGGGTTTTTATCATTTGTCGATGATTCTGTCCATGCGCCATTTGCTCTGTAGGAAATAATTAATCATATTTATATAATTTTGGAAGTATTCATTTTTCAAAATTCCAGTAATAATGTTTTAGTAGATATAAAGCTTTATACACTTTAAGTTAAAGAGTCCTTGAAGTTAAAATGTGGTAAAAATATACATTTTTAACATACAATGTAATGGTCAAAAGGGAATCTGTCACGCACAAAACAGCAAAATGCTGAAGGCTATATTTAATTTAGCTTTGCAGTAGTGTCCATACAGTGACACGTACTATTTTCAATCACCATCTGATTGCGTCATTTATACGTCCTCTCATAATGTCTAGAATAGATATACTAATACAACATAATATCTTCGATCTAGAGGTCTCTTTATTTATCACTTATCTTGAAGTACCATTTTTGCATGTTTGATCTGTACTCATACCGACAGTTAATAAATGATAAGCGACTTGAAAAATCTTGTTTTACTATCACATGTACGATATAACTTATAAAAAACCGTATGGAAGATTTGAATAGTAGACTGATGTAAATAGTTCTAGTTTGATTTATAATCATATGATAACGATTTAATCATAATTAAACATACGCCGTTAGCATAAAATAAGAATGTATCTAACATTAATTTATCGATTGAGTTCGAGAAACCGCAACGAAATTTCACTCATTTACAACAACATGCTATTATCTGATATATCATCAACAGAATATTTGGAATCGTCCGGGAAAATGTTTACATCATAGAACAGTAGTAAGAAAAGAGTTCTTAGTGGTTTTATTTAACACAGGTGTTTTAATGTACTTAGATTTTTCTTATTTGTGTATTCTGTTTATAAGCAGGTATAAATGAATGCATTTTTCAATAAGTAATACATATGTTTATGTGTGTTACTCTTGAAAAGAACAAAAATGGCATTAAAATATGGTGTAAAAATAGGAAAAATTAAAGATTGGTTTGCTTTTCTGATAATTTACATTGTAACATGTGATTTCATATATTGCGGGATCAACGAGAATCAGTTACATGAAGTGAACAACTCTCAAGAAATGTCAACTGAGGTCCCGTACTATTACAATGTGTATCACTTATACGACGATTACAAACTAGGTTCTGATCATTGCCAAGATAAATGTAAATGTTCAGAGGACAGAAAATCATTTCCGGAAAAATTATGCCATTGTGACAAATTGTGCGGACTTATGCATGATTGCTGCGATAATTATCATTATAAACCAGTTTCGTATTTGGCTAAAGAACAATTTGAATGCGTGCCATTATATGAAATTATCAGAAACGAGAACTATGGAGTATATATGGTGACAAAATGTTCATCAAGTTGGGATAATTATCAAACAAAGTCGATGTGTGAAGGTGATGCAAAGGTTAATAATAGTTTACTACGATTACCGGTGTCGGACAAAACAGAGTATCATGTTATGTTTAAGAATATTTATTGCGCAGTCTGTAATTTTATTACCGAATTTTATTTCTGGGTGCAGGCAGTGAAATGTAGAACAAAAATCAATGAAAGAGCATTGCCTGATACAGTAGGGTGAACGTTTCGGTTGTCAAAAATAGCGTTTTTCGTGCGTCCGTTTTTCGTGTAACGTGCGTGCGTATAGCGTGCAACGTGCGTTTGCTGAAACGCTTTCTCAAGCGTGCATCGTTTACAAGCGTTTAACGTTTATCGTTTTCCGTGTATCGTTTTTCGTTTATCGTGCGTCTGAAAGCGTGCGTTTCTTATTCCTAGAAACGTTTAGCGTGCGTCTGCGTTCGTCTAAGCGTTTAAGTACCGTGTTTTGCGTCGTTACTATTGAGAAGTAAAAGAATATCTTAGATAGATATATTATGTAAATTTCTTGTTTCTTAAACATGTTAAAGATGTTTTGTGTCCCTGTCAAGGAATAGAAATATTATATATAAAGAATTATTATTGTGAGATTTACATTAAAGTTTTAAAGTTTGTGACCTCGCGTGAATACTGGTCAGATTTCAACATGCTTTACGCCGAAGATTAATTATTTTAAATCCTATTTTACATACGCATAAGATTTAATTACTAATTAATAGCATATTCAACTCAGCAAACAGGTGTTTACGTGTATATGCGTACCAAAATATATTAGATATGAGGTTCGTCAGACATCAAATGATGGTAATCAGACTAGCACCCCACCCACCTTTACAAGTTCATCTTCTGACTTTTCATCAAAGACTGTCCGAATCCTATTTAGGGTGATAATTATTTTAGACAGTTCCTTCCTATTTTTCTTGACCGATTTATATTGATATGTAACAGCCTGGCAGGGACTCGAACCCCTGACACTCGGAATACCATTCCGCGGCTCTTGAGTTCCTCTGAGCTATTCGGCCGCTTACACTTTTTACTTGTTTAAATACTGAATAGTTATAAACCTACTGTGTATGCAAATATTTCTTCGAATTTCCCAGGGTTACTTAGCAATGTGAATTAATTTCTAGCTGGGCTATACAAATGTATGTCAGTCACAGGAAGAGAAAAAGTGCACCCTGACATGGACTCGAACCCGTTACCACCTAAATACCGTACCGCAGCTGAACCGACATTTATTAATAGTTTCATTATTTGTACATGTATAGTGAACACTTAACTAATTATACATTGTGCTATTTCTATATTTTTGTACAAATAAAAAAAGCTAGATTTTTTTCAAAATTCTATGGTGGCTAAAATATACCATGTTGTACTTTTTAGACATGTTATCACAACAGACAGACTAAGCCA